CCCATACAAAACTTGGCTAAAAAATAAAAGGAGTTTCTAGAAAAAATCCAGTAGCTTTAACCATATGAACGTACGCTCATTACCACTTACATTAAGGAAAATGCAAATTAAAACTACAATGAGGTATCATTTTCTGACCTCTGATACTAGTAGCTAAACATTCAAAAGTACAATAACATTCTGTTAACAAGGCTCTGGATAAACAAGCACTCAGAAAGATGGCAAAATGGTACAACCCTTATAAAAGAGTGAAATTTGGTAATATATAGCAAAATTATGTATTTACTCCCTCTTCTGACCCAGCAATCCTACTTCTAGGGAACTATCCTAAAACACAGTGGCCAAGAATTAAAGAATGACTTAATGCACAATGCCATTATAATCAGTACCCAATGAATAGCCAAAAACTGGACACAATTCAAGTATCATTAGAAGTCTGACTGAATAAACTATGGCACAGCCTATAAAAAGGAGTGAGGAAAAGCATACTGATCCAGGTATGTGTAGTTTGGTTTTGTATGTGTAGGAAGAATACAACATACACACATACATGCAATAATGAAAGACAAATGTATTATTAAGAAAAAAAAAGATGATTCCTAAAAATCAAAAGCAAATGACAATAAACCTAAACCTGTCAAATTTGTGGCATACCATACAGAGATTTCAAATGATTTTAAAAGACAGAGAATTGTGCCTATACACCTTAGAATGTATTCTAAAAAGAACCACTGAAATTTTAAGCCACAGTTAGTACATTTAGTAACAATAATCATACTGATGTCTTATGTTTCAAGATACCCTATCAGTAATCATGTTAAGAACTAAATTTTTCACTGTAATAAGACAGAAATATAAAATCTTAAATTAATAAGCCCCTATAATCTCAATTTTAAATCGGCAGTATCCCTGTAAACTCTTCCTTTCCAAAAGAGTATCTACTTCCTAACTTTGTCCAGTGAAAAGGCCCAGAAATAACAGACACTAGTAAGTGTCCTGTGATGTCTA